CGAATATTCGTCGAAGACCGTTGACGAAATGATTAATCTTGTCCTTTTCACTTGGTACGAACCGTTGGGCAAACTGAAGCTTCCGATTGAACTCTGTTTCATATTCAATCACCGACATGAATCCCTGTTTGAGCTCTAGGAATTCCTTCTCAAGCTTTTGTTTCAAATCATCCTTACAATATTGTTCGAAGAACAGCACTTGAAACTCTTCCCATGTCGTTCTATCTCTAATATTAGGATCCATTGATCGATATGTGGCGTTCCACCAAGTGAGTGCACGATCGGTAAATGTCGCTGTAGCATAACGTACTTTATCCTCCTCCTGCACGTAAACAATCCTGAATACTTTTTCAGTGTTTTCGACCCATTGCATTGCAAGTACTGGGTCTGTCTGTCCCGAGAACTCTGTAGTGCCACTGCTTCTAAATGTTTTAAATGAAGGTCGATCCGACTTTGGTTTGGGTACGTCTTCATTAACCGGCTTCAGTCCTTGGACAACCGGATTCTGAGTATTAACTGGATTTTGCACTTCAGATAACTTTCTTTCAAACTCTATTCTTTGTTCTCGTAGAGGAACCCGTGTTTGATCATTCATTATTTTCAATAACCTCTCAGTACGAGGTGATAGTTGGGCCTCATTGTCATTGTCAACATTTTCTTGGACATTCCCTTCAAGATTGAGGTTGTCATCCCCAATTTCTTGAGAAACCGACGTGTTGCTAGATGCATCGTGTTCAGACATCGTACTGAAATTATAATACATATATATAGGGATCAAATAATACTTTATCCCTTGTACCCCTACAAATCCTAGGTCTCTCCTATTGGTCTATATCTCATATAAATCATAACTTAGTCACTATACAATGTCAATACCTAAGTTTGAGTCCAAATATCATTAATGATATCCAGTTCACTCAAACCACAGCTCTTATACCATATCTGTAACAATCTCGCTAGAGCAAACCCCACATTACCAATTCCTATAAAATCTTCAATAAAACATAATTTATTAAATATTAGGACCAAAATTGATCTTAAATTATTCTAAAAGTTTTGTCAAAGCCATCTGGGCCAATGATGGAAAATATGAAAATGCTGCTAAAAAGACTAAGTCTTGAGGAAGACCAGAGGCAATGGTTGGACCAGAGGCAATGGTTGGACCAGAGACAATGGTCCAGAGGCTGGTGAAATGGCTAAGTCTGGAACAAGACCAGAGGCCATGAAGGACCAGAGGCGAGGCTATGAAGGACAGAGGCAATGGTTGGACCAAAGGCAATAGTCCAGAGGCTGCTGAATTGGCTAAGTCTGGAAGAAGAACAGAGGCCATGAAGGACCAGAGGCGAGGCTATGAAGGACCAGAGGCAATGGTTGGATCAGAGGCAATGGTCCAAAGGCTGCTGAATTGGCTAAGTCTGGAAGAAGACCAGAGGCCATAAAGGACCAAAGGCGAGGCTATGAAGGACCAGAGGCAATGGTTGGACCAGAGGCAATGGTTGGACCAGAGGCAATACAATGGTCCAGAGACCATTCAATGGTCCAGAGACGATGCAATGGTCCAGAGGCGATGAAGAACCAGAGGCCAACACTTTGAAACACACAAATCTGGGCATAACATTAATTAACCTCAAAATATGGGATATTAATTTCTAGAAAAACATCGAAATATCCGTTCTATTTTAGTGATAAAACCACCCAAAACACAATTCCAAACCAGATATAACGGATTTTTACTTACAACCCAAATTAAGTAGCCAAAATAATACGAGACAAGACTATATGTATATATATATATATATATATATATAAGCTACTATTTAACCCAAAAGCAAGATCGATATCTTCAAGTTCCCCGGTAAAGCTTCAAGTCAAACAACGGGTTCTTTCTATTTACCCGTCTTCTTTCCTGAGAAAGGTTGCCACTTAAATGGTAAGCCAACGCTTAGTGAGTTAAATAGTTAAGTATTACATATCAATATCGCACATGTTTATAAACATAAATAATAAAATCTTATCAATTAAAGAGTTCAAGACATCATCCAGATGCAAACCGAGACTTACAAGAAACCGAGTGAACAATTACGTACCGGATGCTAAGATCATAAGATTCCATATTCAAATCACCATAGTATATCATATCATTGATGATCAATACAACAAGGAGACAGGATCAACAACCAAATATATTCAGCAACGTTAGAATACCCATAAATATCAAGAACCAAGAGATCGAATCGATATACATAACGAAGACAGTGTATCACCCCGTCCTTCACCTCCCGGGCTCATGCCAAAGTCCGAGTCAGAATCATACATTACGGGAAACCTTGCACTGCCCGCCTTACTCTACCGGGTATGTGCCAAGGTTCCCTACTCATTGCTCTTCCTCCTCTTCGAGCAATGAGTATTTAAAACCGCAGAAAGTCTCACCCGTCCAACCCGGGATCTTGACTTTGCCATAAACTTCCGGCGTGCCACACGAAGTAGTACCCGTACTATGGCGTACAATACAAGGAACAAAACAACGAGTCTGGATCCAGAAAGCAAACTGATGTACCAAGATAGTAATAAGGAATCGACTCAAGAGACGGAATCAAAGACMAATCAAGATCGTGTGACTCCATTCAAGACCAAAAAAATTCATATGAAAATATATATGTTCAAATCAATATGTAACAATTAACTATATAACTCACCGGGCAACCGTACAATACCGAAAAGCTTCGAATGAGCTCACAAAGCAAGTCCAATCTACCATACTTAGATTGCTTCCAAAGTATCAAAACATGTCCTAATTACCCCTGGAGTAAATGTACAAAATCTCATAAGCAATCAATATAAGAAACTCATGATATAAATATATCCTATTTGAACATTTTACCTAAATTTCTATGTACAGCTGTGCATGCAGAACTGTTTTGCCCATTTTAAGCTCGAATTTATGCCTTGATCATAAAATAAGAAATAAACTAGACTCAAATATCTAGCAAAGAAAATTGGCCTCACCTTATTTGAATTTTTCTACGATTTTATACAGATTTTCAAAGTCTGCACACTTTCAATGCATTCTTAAGTCTACATTCTCATTTTTAAACATTTTTCTCAAACCATTTCGATTCCAAATTATTCCAACTTCTGAATCTCAACTTAATATAACATATTTGACATAAACAACCAAAATTCAACCTTTATTTTATCATTTATATTATATCCCAAATCATTGACTTAATCAAGTCAAAGTTCATATGATGAACTTGCATAAATCTCGATAATCTCTTGAATCTAATGACCATTTGATGCCAAAAACACTAAAATGTACTCATTTTATACACTTAAGATCAAACCCATATGAAACCCTAACTCTATCTCAACATTCAATCCATAAAACAAGAATGTCAACCAAGAACAAGTGCAAAAATAGATTATACCTTACTTGATGATCAAATCCTTCCAAGATCTTGTAGTTCCTCTTTGATTTGAGTTGAATCAAGCCTATGTGTATGAAAATCGCACCTCTAGTGTGTGTGTGAGTTATGGACTTAGATGACATGAAAAATGGGCCAAAACTCCAATTTATAATGCTAAAACTCGAGTTGGGCCGGGTTGGCCCAGCTAGGTACCCATTTTGACTATCAACACTTAAAATATTCATAACTTTTGGCTCGGACCTCCGTTTTCTATGAGGTTTTCGCCTACATAAAGAGATAATCTATAACATCCAACAAAAATATTCCAGAAAATATCTCCCAAGAAAAATAAGTTTTACGTATTTATTTGACGTAAAAATTTTCCAAATCCTCTAGTATATTCTTAAGAAATAAAATTATAAAACTTCAGCCCCAAACTCCCACTAAATCATAAATTCTATTTAACCCAATAATTAAATATACTAAACAAATAATTGGACATATTAGAAATTGGATGTTACAACGGGGGCCAGAGGACGGAAGACGGGGGACGGAGAGAGGAGAGAAAATACCTAAAATGTCCTTGCATTAAAATTTTAATTTGCAATTACCAAAACTATAAATTTTCTAATTTATCTATTGATTTGTGATTGAGATTGGATCTCACGGTTACCACAAACTATTTAGATATCCCTTGAATGGGCCTATACATACATATACATATACACACACACGTATGTGCTAGTGTTTTGAATAATAACGTAGAACAAATTAAATTCATATAAATTAAAGAAATTGGAATAGAAATAAGAACTATTGATACCACATATACAGAGCTTAAAAAGTGATATCAAGAATGCAAAATCAGGATTAAATCTTTTGAATCTCCACTCACTATTTTCTTCAATTTTAGAAGAATGTGTGTTCGACTTTTCGTATAAGGAAATATGAGTAGGTATTTACCTATTTAAGGTTTTAGTTGTTATATTTATTTAACTCTTAGGTCTCGTACATAATTTACCATGTATCTTTCAAGTAACCCCATACTTTACAAAATAACGCGTTGTCAAGCGTCATAAGACGTTACAATGCAATCCAAGTCAAGCCAATGGAGCCATAGGAGTTAAAATGACGACGACCCAAGCCTTAACGTCTTAACGAGTTATTTAAAACCATGTTAATTCTACGCACTTAAAAATATAATAGAATGTATAGTTTTTATGTACTTCAAGCTTAGATAAATATAGAGGTTGCACTCTTTTGGGCTTAAAAAGCTAAGATATATGGAAGTATGGTGTTTGAGTGGGTTGTAATTCAAGGAGTAATATATTTAGGATGCAAAATGTAAACAAGAAGATGAATGTGTATGGAGTGCAAGACCAACGTATCAGATTGTCCTTCGACATAGAGATCTTCTGTACTATAATTTCAATAAATAATTATAACTAATAAGAATCACCTACACTTCAAAGCAAGCGTCAGCTTTTCCCTTTAATCGGTATCAAATTTCTTGTTCGATACTCGAAAGAACGTGCTCAAATGGTGACCCGACGGATCTAACAAAACGTTTAGAATTTGATGTTTATCGTTGCATCATTTCCACCATTTGCTAACATGAGAACCACTAGACCCGTCCCTTGATGTCCCGTCTTGTCGTCTATCACGACGAACATAATCCAATCTTCTAGTAGATCCAACACTGACACTTCGGAAGCTCATTTTTTGACTACTTTCCATGGGGAATACCGTATGTGGACTCGTGGGAAGGCTTGTGATCGGATTCACAAAAAGATCTCGTGCCTCAATTGGTAACCGCAGTGTATACCTCTCGACGTTTTCAATGGGTCGAACTACCACTGAATGACCCGTTGAATGTGATCGGGGCATTTCAAGGGTTGTAGATATATCATGTTTGGACTCGCTTGGAAGAAGAAATTCCGTCGAGCCACAATCGATGTCTGGGTCAATCGGCTGATGCAATGACTGGGTCATGTGATTGAGTTCACCAGGTCTCGGCATGAGGTCAGCTCGACACACTGGGCACGTGATATGTGAAGCCAACCACGTGTCAATACAATCTGAGTGGAACAAGTGGCTGCATTTGGGTAGCAAGCGTAGGGTTTCATGGTCTTGGAACCCATTTAAGCAGACGGCACATTCCAGCGCCGTGTGCCCTATCTTTATCCCCTTGACACTTGAATACGAAAATCTCGCAAATGTGGCGATCACGGCTGGGTCGAGCCCATGCACCACCGATCTCATCGACCCCGTTTCACTCCCGTTTGTTGTACTCGCCGCAAGAATGAGCTGTCGTTCGGCATAGTGGCGAAAGTAGGCTGAGACCACACAGATCATGAAGAAGGCACTTAAAAAGCACACCAACACAATCACCATTATTGGGTCGACCTTTGTTGCTGGTTTTTCCGGCAGCGGCGTTAATGGTGGTGATGCAATTCTTTCCTCCATGGCGGCGTAGGTGTTTGCTGAGAGTGACATAAATGCAACAACTACCCATTTGATTTCATTACTATATTTAAGGATTTGCATGGAGAAATCTATTTGCAATAATATGCGAATTGGGGTTTGATGCTAATCTTGCGATGGGCTCAACTAATTAATTAGTTTTAATCATGAGCTTCAACAATAAGCTGGAAGATGACGCTATCTTGCGCCTGCTTAGGGGACGTGTGGTGGGTCTGCAAAAAAAATATATGAATGTCGTGTTGCTGAGGAGATTGACATTTTGGCAGAAAGGTGAGAAGGCAACAAATGGAGTGAATAAAAGATGATTATTTCGATAATTACGAGAAAGGAGGAGGGTTTATCGATTACAAAATTGAGTGATGACGCACCACATTTATGGACGGCTGTTCGTTTTAATTTGTAAAATTTTTATTATATAAAAAAATAAAAATAATTTTCTATTATAAAATTTATAAAAATAATCAATTCATTAAAGCGCTTTTACTTAAATAGATAAAGTTTACAAATAAACTTTATAAATATGCTCTTTTCTGCGTATATATGTTTTTGGGAGGAAAAAGAAGAAAAAACATTTTAAGAAGCAATTTTAAGCAAATCTCCTTTTACGATTCTAATTTATTAAAAATAAGTTAGATTTTAGTTATTTAATTTATTTTATTTTTTTTGTTTTATTTTATATTTTTTTGTATTAATATAAAAAATCGTATACTAATTAAAATAAATTAAAAATACGTTTTTTTGAAATAAGTTAGATTTTAGTTTTTGGAGCACAATGTTCTCCATTTTTGCTTAATTCTTGTTCTCTATTTGTAAGTCGTTACTATCAGGGGTCAATTTAAGAACAACAAGGAATTTGATTAAGTTATGCATATAAACTTATTAAAACTAAGCGATATAAAATTATATAAATATGGTGTGCATTATATATATATATATAGAGAGAGAGATTTGAGATCATGTGAGATCAAACTTTTTTATGAGACCATTTATATAAGCTTGAAACTTCACAGTAAAACACTGTGAATGTAACATTCACATTGTTTTTGTGAAGGTTCAAAAAGTTTTTACATACATAATGTTTGTTGTGAAGTTTCAAGTGTAAAAATGTGGTTTTATGAGTCTCAAAGAAACGATCAAATGAAAACCACCCTCATTTGTACAAACCGTACAAACCACACTCATACGTCGATTTCATTGTTTAATCTTATGAAATTTTTTCATAAAATTGTTAAATCTTGTGAAATTGTTTCATATAATACTTTTTTTGATGAATTTGTTTCATATATGGTTATGAAATTGTATCATATAATATCTAATGAAATTTTAATGAAATTGTTTCATATATATCTCTAAAATTAAAATAATGAAGATGATAATATCCATGATTAACACCCTCCATAATAAAAATGGTTAATCAACCTCTCATAATAAAAAAAAATGAACAAAATGAAAAATTATAATTGGTTGAATGTAGTTTTCACGGTTTGTACAAATTAGGTGGTTTTTATTTGAACGCTCCTCTCTCTCTCTCTCTCTCTCTCTCTCTCTCTCTATATATATATATATATATAGGGGTCCATTTAAGGGAGAACTGAKTAGTTTGTGGTAACCGTGAGATCCAATCTCAACCACAAATCAATAGATAAATTAGGAAATTTATAATTTTGGTATTTTTTAATCAAAATTTTAATGCAAGGACATTTTAGGTATTTTCTCTCCTCTCTTCTCTTCTCTCTCCGTCCCCGTCTTCTGGCCTCCGGCCACCTTTCTTCGATGATACCACAGTGTGATACTTAAGTACATATAAGATGCATTGTGATACCACTGTGTTACATACCCGATCGACCACACAAACGACCTCAGTGTGATATCCAATCACATATAAGATACATTGTGATACCACTGTGGTATCACCGAATGACGGTGGCCGGAGGCCGGGAGACGGAGAGAGAAGAGAGGAGAGAGGAGAGAGGAGATAGGAGAGAGGAGATAAAATACCTAAAATGTCTTCGCATTAAAATTTTAGTTAAAAATTACCAAAATTATAAATTTTCTAATTTATCTATTGATTTGTGGTTGAGATTGGACCTCACGGTTACCACAAACTAATTAGTTCTTATTTGATTAGGCTCCTATATATATATATATATATATATATCTCAATATATCAATAAGTTATAAACCTGTGAGAACCAATATAAAAATATCTTTCTACATTATGTTTTCTTGATCAAAAACTATGATTTAACGTATTATTTCACATATATTTGTGTTCACTTTATGAAAAAAAATCACATGTGATTTTTTTTTTATAAAGTGAACAAATGAAAAATACACTTAAAAATATTCTTATGGTGAAACAAATACATATGAAATTATCACATTATTAAAACATATATATATATATATATATATATGATGTAACACTCATACCACACATTGCATGTAACACATAATTCATACAGAAGAAATACAAGTTTATATACCATTCAGGTCCCTTAGTACAATAATCTATCATTACAGAATACAAGGTCCAAAAATTCAAATACATTTCTTGTACTAATCAACATTCATCAATCAAAACTGTACATCAAAGACAGTTCTTCATGCAGAAATGCATATAGGAAAATATCACATTTTCCCCTTTCCCTTACCGTCTGGACTTCCTGCAATACATAGTTAAAATCACAAAATGAGGGTTAGACCGAAAGGTCTAGTGAGATACCATATTTATGTTATTGCAGGGTGAAATCACCTAAATCTTTATGAAAAACAACTTTTCATATATATAAAAAATATATGAACAAAGAGGAACATAATACCAGTACCTTTCCACTTTTCAAGCTAAGCATTCAGCTATTCAAATCACATACCTTTGAACCATCTAGGTTTCATATAATGTCACTTTTAAACATTTTCTAATCAAACAAGGTTTATTTAAAGTTTCAGGCCCAACCTGCTATTTTCCCCTCAATAACATTCAGACTATGATTTCCAATAAGAACCTTGATCCTAAATCTTTAAATCACAAAGAAATAAAGATTCCAGACCACGGTAGTCTTAGAGGATATAATAAAAAGAGTTATATCATACAACACACATACAAATGCCACCCTTATATCAAATGTACACCTCTCCTTGATATGCCACCCTTATCCCATGGTACACCTCTCCTTGATATGCCACCCTTATTTCCTCATTAAAGCATTTTACAAAAACAATTCCAAATAGACCGCAGTCAATGGAATTATTATCAATCCAAAATCATTTATATCAAATTTTCTATTTTATGATAAAATAACATTTTTCATCAATCAAGCATAAGGCATAGTACAAATCCGATCAATTTGGTTTGCTCGGACTTCATCTCCGGTCAAATTCTTGGCCGGTTTACCAAATCCAGACAACACATCGCTCAAGGCTTGTCCGATTTAACACTTAGAATAAATTCCAATACTTTTGTTCGGATAACAAGTCCGGACAACATATCGTCCAAAGCTTGACCGATTTAAAATAATCTGGTCACTACATGGTCGTATTCATACTTCTCCGTTCAAAATGTTTACTATACTTTAACATTCATAAATTGCACAACGCTTGACCGGTTTAAAGCTAAACCGCTTAACACTTGACCAGTTTAGGGCTTAATCGCCCAACCCTAATCCGATTTAAGAATAATCCGGACAATATACCGCCCAAGGCTTGTCCGATTTAGACTTAATCCGATTACCCTTTATCCGAATAAAACCCTTAAGCAAATAACTGATTTCTTTCCAGTAATAAACAACATTCAAATAAAACCAGTAACAAATTTTATGCAAAAAGGTATAGAAATCACTCACCTTATCAAACCTTTTGAAAACAACCTTCTTGCAATGCAAAAGTTAGAAAAATCCGGCAAGCTTTTCCTACTAAATCGCTTAATTTATCAAAATATCCAAGAAGATAAAATGGGAGGTCAAACCCTCCTTTTATACATTTCCTTAACAGGAAAGTCGGCCATATGCACAGACCCACACACCATGCATCCCTACTTATGCATGCATATATTTATATAAATATATACTCTCATGCACATATACTCATACATGCATGCATATCATACCCATATATATATATATATATATCATACATACAACATACATGTGTATTCGCATATACACATAATCTCATTCATGCATTCACATTATGCACATAATTTTCAACACACTAGCATGATCAAATAAAACAAATTTATCATGCTATCACGTAATCATTTACTCAGATAATCACGTATTTATTACCTCGAGTGATAACCAAGATCCAGTTATCACATTATCCATCCCTCAAAAAGAATTTCGTCCCGAAATTCCTTTAATAAAAAAGCCATGGGTACTCTGATCTCATCTTTGACTCCAATTCCCATGTTGCTTCCGGTCCTTTGTGAAACTTCCACTGAACCTTAACCAGACTTATCTCTTTGTTTCTCAACACCCTGATCTTTTGATCAATTACGGCTTCCGGTGTTTCCACAAAGTTCAGCTTACTGTCTAATTTAATCTCTGGCATCGGTATAGCTAGACTCGGATCGATCAAATATTTCCACAGATTCGACACATGGAAAGCGTTGTGAATCAGACTCAGCTCTTCTAGCAGCTCTAACTAATATGCTACTGGCCCAATTCGCTTACATATTCTGAATGGCCCCACATACCTCGGACTGGGCTTACCCTTCTTTCCAAATCTGATGACACCCTTCCATGACGAAACTTTTAACATCACAAAATCACCTATACAAAATTCGATCGGCTTTCGACGATTATTTGAATAACTTTTCTGGCAATCTTGTGTAGTTTTGATTCTTTCGCAGATCTGTTCTATCTTCTCAGAAGTTTCTTGGACAATTTCAGGACCCGTCAGCTGTCTTTCACCCACCTTATTCCTACATAACGGCGTTCGACATTTACGTCCATACAACACTTCAAACGGTGCCGCTTGGATGC